TGGGGAGTAGGGTCAAGAGAAAGTTTTTTTAGGATGATAAAAATAACAGCATGTTTGTATGATCTGGAGATGATCCAGTGAAGCAAATAAAATTGATTTGGGAAAAGGAAAATCTGTACAGCAAAGGAGGGATGGAAGCCAGCGCCCAACTAAAGGATTCCGCTTAGACATGGCCTGGGGTAGCATGTCAGCGAGAGCGAAGGGACTAGGGACCAAAGCACAACCATCTGGCAGCACTCCGGTGCTACTGGAGGTAGGGGTCGTGAAAGCGAGAGCAGCCCACGAGGTTGATGTTGTTCTCCAGCTCCCTGCAGCTGCAGGCTGTCGGGGAGGACTAGCAGAAGCCACTTCCCAGGAGAGCTCATTTTTTTAACCTTCTCTGGTATCTGTCTAAATAATCCAATCGGGTATCTCCCCCACCTTAAAAGCGTTCAATGTCTTCCCGGTGCCGAAGTCCAAATTCTGAAAGCTGCCTGCCTTTGCAAGCTGGCCACGCCCTTCTACCTCAAGCCTCACAAAACTCCAAGCAAACCAAACCATTTGTACATTCTAGTCTTTGCAAACTCCATAGGTTCTAACACAGAAGAAACTACATACTATCAAACCTCGAAAAGTCAGAAGCCAGTACTAGGCTCCTCCTTTAATGAAGATTACACTTTACACAACTGGTTATTTTTCACAATTTACAAATATTTTTACTTTACAAATCACAGAAGTCAATGAACCAAACTGCTAATACAGCTATGCTCTAGACACATGTATTCCCATTTCCATAATATTATGTAATACCCATTTCACAGATGAGGAGAGGCCCAGCAAAGGTATGTGTTGACTCTAAAGTCAAACAGCTTTCAAGTAAACCTAAATAAGTATGGCCTCCTCCAAAGGCACCACAGTGTTCCCACTGTGGTTTAATTTTTCCTCTCTATTCCTCTTGCTGGTGTTGCCTAGGAGAAGGTTAAACAACTCAAATGCGTAAATCGATTATTGCAGTTTAAATGAGAATCGATTTCCCAAGAAATCCAAAGAACTCTATTTTATGTGAATTTCCCCTAGTTTCTATTAGCTCAATCATCATTGTCCTAATATCCCATATAATACTGAGAAAGTTCAACCAGAAAAATTCTGGTTTTCTCTTTGGCATAGGTTTCCAGGAGGCTGTACTTACAGATGAGTTAGGAGGTAGTTTTCCAGCTCCACTGGTGGTCTGTGACTGATCCTTTCTCCAAAGGTTTTTATGGATACAGACAACTTTCTCCCAGAATTCCATTCTTTATCTCTTTGCCACACCTTCACATAAGAATGTTGGGAAGTATCTTCAAAGTCTGCCAATCTTTTTGCTGGGTTTGATCCACTTAATAACTTAAATAGATTATAGGGAGACACTAGTGGGCTAGAACAGTATTTGCTCTCTGCTAGGCCATTTTTAAAAGATCTAGCACAGATCTTGATTTTAGGTCGGACTCTAGGCCTGAAAAGTCATACAGACTTCGAGATTGTTTATACATGAAGGGACCTTAAATTACTTGGGGCAAATTCTCTCATTTCTAGATAAATAAACTGAGGACCCAAAAGAGGAATAGAGTATGGGACTCACAGAAGTCACTTGGGGCCGATGCAGAAGTGAAAGCCAGATTTGCCTACTTCTACTCCACTGGTCTTGTCACTCAACAAATATGATTTCACCAAACGCTTATTGAACACCCATGCTAAGCCATGGAACACTCGAAACAAACAAAACAAACCTATACTCTCTGCCCTGAGAAGTTTAGGAAAACAAGCTTCCACCTTTAATAAGAATGAGGTAGAGCCACATTGTGCGCCAGTATAATTTGTACACGTCTTTCACATGTTAATAAGATGTCAACTGAGACTCCAGTTTTGAAGCGTTGGAAGTGTTTGACAAGGATGTCAGAAAACTGGACTAGAGCTGAAATCCTTCAGCTAGAGGGCGCTACTTGTGTGAAGCAGAATGTTTCCCCAAGAAATTCTGATATGAGGGGGAGCCTTTTTTCACTTCCCACCCCAAACGATGGCTGTTGTCTACTTTAAAATATTGATAACATCACGGATTTGGTTTTGAACTAAAACTTTCACTTTCAACCAGTGAGCCTTGCTGCATTATCACATGATTGTGAGACATTTCCTCCACATCCATTTTAGGGAAGACCGGTGGTGATAGCATGGGATTTTACCAAGAAGAGGTAGGGTGGTTTTCTAAGGGACTCTGTACTCTCCCAAACCAAGACCACTGCAGGACGGCAAACCAAGTTGAACCTCCTGAGCTAGTAGCAATTATTCCAAATGTACACTGAGCTTTGTCGAAACCCTTGTCAAGGCACTGTATCAGTGGTGGTGGGCAATGGGACTCCAAACAATATATCAATGTACTGCTTATATAGAGTATGTAAAATTTCTTTTTTAACCATTGGCCCTGAGCTAACATCTATTGCCAATCTTTTTTTTCTTCTTCTCCCCAAAGCCACCCAGCACATAGCTGTATATTCTAGTTGTCGATTCTCCTAGTTGTCCTATGTGGGATGCCGCCTCAGCATGGCTTGACGAGCTGTGCTAGGTCCACACCTAGGATCTGAACCAGCAAAACCCCGGGCTGCTGAAGTGGAGCACGTGAACTTAATCACTTGGCCACAGGGCCAGCCCTAAAATGTTTTAAGAAAAATGCCCCCAAAACAAGCAAGTCCCCAAACTGTCCGTTCCTACAAAAGTGGAAGTCTTTTACATTCATGTATTTTTCACAGTCTAATCACAACCATTCTTTTCTTTATCCAAGATAGACAGAGAGAAAAGAAAGCAACGTAAGTTGCCTAAAGCTACATTCAGACATCGTCAAGCACCTAGAAACATGGAAGGTTATGAAATAATGCTTCAATAACCATACAAGCGCTAACGTGGCAATGCACATGTTTTTCTACAAAGCAGAAAACACAGCAGGTCACTCTATATTTATTTGGGGGTCTGCTCTTAGAATCTATGTCACCTGTATCACTTCATGCCTTCACCTGGTTAATATTTATTGAGCACCTGCTGTGTGCCAGGCAATCCTTATTCTCTGAGAGTCACTTGGAATTTTATAGAGTGAAATTAAACAAGTGGTAAAGACAAGAATTAGTATTTCCAGAAGAAAGAAAAAAATAAAGAAATCATCAAAAAATTCTTTTCTGTATCATTCAGAATCTAGTATGCAGATCTGTCAATGCCTACTGCCTTTGATTGTCATCATTTGCTTGGCTATCAGGCTGCCCTGCTGGACTTCCTTGAAGGCAAACACGAATGTTTCTATCTGTGGCACCTGTGCCATGGCTTGAGTTTGCAATATAGCAGGCATATATTCATTCTACAAGTTCTTATTCAGTATCCATTACAAATCAAGCATTATACTGGCTCCCTGGGGCTTAAGATGAACGATAGAGTTTACTTTCTAGTTGATGATCAGGGGAGACAAACCACCAAAAATGTAAACAAATAAGAGAATTTCAGATTTGAGTAAACCACGTAGGAAATAAAGTGGACTAGAGATGGGGAGGTTGGTACTTTGGATAGGGTAGTCAGAGAAAGCTCTGATAATATTTAAGCAAGAAACACAAAGATGAGAAAGAGACAGCTCTGCAAACAGTCTGAGGGAAGTATTCCAAACGGAGGGAAACGAGTCCATTGAAAAGGCGCTGGAGCCAGAAAGAACTTGGTTTGTTCTAGAAGCAGAAGGAAGACCACACATTTTCTTGAAATAAGGCATCCAGATAACTAAATGCAGTATTTCTTAATTTTTACCTGAAATTTCATCATTTCAGATAACTTATTTCTCTCATGGTGATTAGAAGCTGTTTGGCTGCTGCTTATGTAAGAGGAGTTTTTGCTGGAGTAGAGGGGTTGCTGGGAGAGTTAAGGAAAGGCACGTTGCTCGGAGGACTTCGCTGAGGCCTGGGCAGCTGGCAGACTTTAAAGCTCCCTCGCCCTTGGATCCTTACTTCAACCCTCAGATTTAGCCAATGCTAAGGTCAAGAGATTTTTTTAAGCTTTAGTGGTGAACTTTGGGATAAACAAATGAATCAAAAATCTATATCACTGGTATAGCAAAACCGTGTGAAACAACCTTCACCTACCATTACATAGTTGTCACTTTTTACTTAAGTGCTTCTGAACAAGAACTAAATTCAGTGTGCAATTGAGTAGTAGTGGCAAGTAACATTGTGGATAAAAATATTGAAAACAGATTAGATATAGATATATGGACATTTCAGAGCTGACAAAGAGAAGATAAACACTGCTTTGGAATATAAAATATTTGTTTTACATGAACTAGGTTTAAAATGAGTAAGTACAAATACAAAATGTAGAAATTATAAAGAACAGTAAATCAACTTATCATGAAGCAGGTTTTCATGTAGACTATAAAGCTATAGTGAAATATTTTCCAAAGGTGACCCACCCACAAAACAATTATATTAAAATAATATGCATATTTAAACAGATGTCCCACCACCACCACCACCACCACCACACGTGAGTAGCATAAATAACCATTTAAAAAATAGATATCACTGCCTTCTCTGGAAAAAGTGAGACACAACCATAAGCAGAAGGAATTTGAATAAGAATTCACAAAAGAAATCACTGCTACCAGTCAATGAGTGACTTGGAATGACCTTAATCATTGCAGTCAATATGACTGAGAAAAAGAGGATCTAGAAGCTTGAAACTAACATTTTTGACTCATACTGCTCCTTTGTACAAGTTTCCTCTGAAAACTGGCCAAAATCTGAGCCCTTGTCAAGCTTGAGAACCCTCCAACCAAATGTTCCAGCTATCCCCCTTTTCTTTGCCACTTCCCAACTGAGTCCCCACTCCAAATAATTGAAACCAGGGTTCTAGTCCTGGCTTGCTGCCACACCCTACTGTTGGCCATGACCTTGAACTTAACATATTCATTTCTTCATTTCTTTCTGTGATGAGGAGGGAGGGCTGACAGGAAAACATTGTCATCATGCTTAACTCTAACTTTTTTATTACAAAAGAAAATGGAGAAAATAATTCAAACCATTACAGAAGCACATAAAAGGAAAAAGGAAAAATCTGTCTATTGACCATTTGCCCTTACGGGCTAACCATATTAATTTGGGTATATTCTTCCAGATTTTTTAAAGAAAAAAAAATTAGCACCGACTATATACACTATTTTAGAACTGTTTTTTTCTTTTGACTTAGCAATATAGTATTTCCCTCTGACAGGTAACCTAAGCTCTGTGAAAGTAGGGATTGTGTCTGCTTCTTTCACTGTTATATTTCCAGGGACTAGAATAGCGTCTGGCACGAAGTAGGTGCCCGTAAATGTTCACTGAATGAATGAAGGGAATGAGTCCTCCTTCCTGTCAGATCAACTAGAAGTTGTACGGGGTCAGGGATGTGTCTATTTGGTCTCTATGATCTCAGCACCAGAGTACCCGGCAGATAGTAAGCACTTAATAAATATTTCTTGAATTAGCAAAATAGCTCAATGATGAAACCACGTATTCTTTTTAACTGCACCAGTGTCTTGACACACCATAATAATCAATTATTCCCCCATTGATGGAAGGAGTCTCTTACAAACACCGTTGCAATGATCATTCTTGTATATTAACCCTTGTATAAAGATTTTTGTAATAAGAATCTCTTTCAGGGGGAACCCCTGATTTGGTCCAAATATGTTCTAAGTCCCTCCCCTAGAATTTCGTTACTTTAAAACACTTACACGATTAATTTTTCAGCATGTATAAGAGCAACCGCCTATAACTTTGCAAAATGATCTCCCTTACATATCAACTTCTAGAAAGCCAGTGCTTCCCAAAACTGTGTAGATGCAGCCCAAACACTATAATGCACACAACAAGACTGCCAGGAAGACATCTAGAAACAAACAAACAGGCTGCCTGCATCTTTGGTGACCACGATCTTCTGCATGTGGCACAGTAGCACTTTAGTCACCACCTGGGGACAAGCAGTTTTCAGGCAGCAACAGGTTGTATTGTTGATTGATTCTTCATGTGCTGCTGAGGGTTGGGCAGAAAGGGAGAAACAGGCAAGAGAGTAACAGACTTCCAAGGGTCTGAGCTGGGAGATGAGGCTGAGAAACAAAGGCCACTTCGGCCTAGATAAGAGCACATATGGGAGCGTAAGGGTATTTGTGATTTCTCCAAGAAGAGAAGTTACAGAGATCTGTCTAAGCTTCCAGTGGAAAAGTCTTTCTAGAAAGCTACCTTTCTGCTTATTTAATTTTTTTCACTCCAAAGATATTTAGTAAATTTCTATTATGTGTCAGAGCTGTGCCAGGCACTGGGAAGGCAAAAAATAAGCAAAGCAGACCTAGTCGCCACCATCTTGGAATTGAACCTTAGGAACACTGTCTTTCCGTAAGGGACCCGACCCCGACAAACACAGATTGCTGGAGTCCTTTGTCTTCTTCCCACCAGGAAACGGAATTTACGTCCCAGTCACTGCTTCTTCTTCTGTGAAAAACACAGATCCAGTCCTTTCCATGAATGGAGAAGTTGGTCAGAGATATTTCACTCTGAGTGCACCACAAGCAAAACTTGGCAAAACACACCAAGTGCACTTCCTTTTTCTCGGGAACGCCTGCCACAACACAGTTCTTGCTGGGCAGTCTTCTCAAATGGCAAAGCAGAGCTGTGCCGTGGCACTTACTGTTGGAGAATCAACATTCAAAGAAGCATAAACCTTGAGACTCAGAGGGAACTTCCAAGATCATCTTCCTACTCCAGTAGTTTCTTAACCTTTTATGGGTCACAGATTTCTTTGAAAATAAGTGACTCCTTTAGACTTTCTGTGCCAAAAAAGACATGCACATATATCTCAGCACATAATTTGACCTATATTTTTGGGAACTTCATGGACACATGATAAGATGGAATTTCCCGGAATTTCAGAGCTCCCATATTAAAAATTCCTCCTTTGTATAAAAGCCCATTAGATCTCTAATGCCTTGATTAGCACTCTCTGAGTTGGGTAGCGCCATTGGCTGGAATACAGAAGTGATGGGCATAAGTAGAGTGCAGGTCACAGTTCAATCCCCAAGTGAGCTAATTATCTTCAGAAAATGGAAAAACTCTGCTTGGTGGCCATGGACAGAGCCTCTAAAACCGGTCAGCTGACACATTTCACAGTTTTCAAAGAATACCAAGCTCAAAAATGAAGTAGTTGGATCTGACAGCATTGAAAGGTGACAACCCAGACGTTGTCAGGATTGTTGCTCACTGTTAACAGAGCAGTAATACTCATATGGATCCTCCATTTCATATATGTTCTCCTCAATGGTATAGATGTTTTCCTCTGAGCGCATCCCTTCTGCTCCTGCATTTTCTAATCCCAAGGGAGGGAGGTTGGCCAAAGTGACAAGGCTGTGGAAATAAAATGTTGCAGTTGAGTTTAGCACTTCCCAGGCAACATAGAATAGAGTTAAGAGAATAAGCTTTACTGAAAAGATGGCAACCAAATGCAGTACATGATCTTTGATCGGGTCCTGGCTGGAGGAAGAAACCCCATAAAACAGCAATAGAATAACTGGGGAACAATTGAGGAAATCTGAATTAACCCTAATTTTCTTAGGTATAAAAATGGCATGTGTTATCTAAGAGAACATCCCTATTCTAAGGAAGTACAGAGAGAAGTGTTTAAGTGAAGTGTCAAGATGTCTGAATCATCCTTACAAATGGTTCAGAAAAAAATCATGTATTACATAAATAAAGAAGCAGATAAAGCAAACATGTCAAAACATTAAATCACGTGTTTAGGTGAAGGGTTCTATTGTTCCTTGTGCTGTTATTTCAATTCTTTTGTGGGCTTGAACAATTTTGAAAAGAAAAAACAAAGAATATGTGATAGATCCGATCAGACTTGAGTTTGAATTCTGTCTCTGTCGCTTACCAGCCATCTGACCTTGGGTAAGTTGGGTTGGTTTTTTCATTCATTCATTCAAGACATTCTTAGCGTGTTACACACTGTTCTATGTAGCAAGAGTACAGAAGTGAACAAAACACAGAAATCCCATAGAGGTTGCATATCAGTAAACTTTGTGTCTCAGGGTCCTCGTCTACAAAATGGGAATGAAAAGTGCTCTATCTCACAGGGCCACTGTAAAGGAGTATTTATTCATTCAATCATAAAATATTTATTAAGCGCCTACTAAGTATCAAGTGCTATGCTAAGGGATACAGTTATTGATGTGCAGACAAGTTCCTAGTTTTCTATGGAGGCTAATTATAGGCAGAGATGAATAGCAATCAAATAATTTCACAAATAATTTGTGAAATTAAAGAATTCATGCGTGTAAATGTTACCTATGGATATTATCACATTTCAGATTTCAGCTCTAATAAAGAATACTGGCACAGATGATCTGAAACCATTGATAATTAAATATTTTATTTGTCCTTATTTGACTTTTTTACTGCAGGCTATTTCTTCTTCATAATTACACTGTCTACACTTAGTCTAAAATTATTACTGATTTAGATAGTACCCAATGGACAGAGTCATTTTTTTCTTAAAATACTTTGTATTGTACTTATGTACCAAATGTCACTAAAATCTAGTAAAGATTATGTAAGCTATGTGTATTTGGAATGGGTGCATGTGTGTGTATATATATATATATAGTTAGGAATGGAGACTAAGACCGAGATATAATAGATCAGTAGTTTTCATCCCTGTTTGCAAGGATCACCTGGAAAGCTTTTAGAAAAATACCTATGCTTAGGTCTCATCCCCAAAGATTCTGATATAGTTGCTTTGGGGTTGCCAACAGTATGTTTAAATGCTCTAGGTCATTCTAATAGGCAATCAGAGTTAAGAACACATGGATTGAGCTGTAAAAGCCCTGACAGTAGACTCTGGGTTTCTTGTTCACTTCTGTAACCCAATGGCCAGCCCAGAGCCTGGATGTAGTAGGTGCTCAATCAACTGAAGGGTTAGTTCATCGAAAAAATCCTTAATTCAGAAATAAATAAACATTTCCTATCAATGGGGAGATAAATTCTATATCTGTAATTTTAGGACTAAGGAAACTAGAAGGATCAGGCGGTAAACAGAGCAATGTGTTGAATTTGCATTCCATAAATCTAGGCCTACAGCAAAAAGGAAGTGTAAGTTTATATCCCAAAGTCCCAGGGCACGACTTCTAGAGCAAAGATCAAAGCCATAGTAGAGTAGGAGTCTCCAAGAGTCCCGCCTTCCCCTACCCCACCCATCATTCTTACCTTGAATTCTGTAACTTCTCTTTGCTATGAGAATACCCTAGGTAAAAGGGGGAAGAGAAGTCAGTTAAAAATGCTTTCATAAAATAAATGAGATAAGAAATAAAATGGGCTCGCTGGAGGCAAGGATTGTTTAGGGAAATCTGGTCTCCTCTTATACTGAATTGAGTCAAACTACCAGTGTGTGTCTTGGTTTATTACATGAACCATGCTAGAAAGTAACAAAGATGCATTTTTCACATTCAAAAAATATATAGAGCACCTACTATGTGGCAGTATGCTAAGCACTGGGGAAACAAATGTGAATTATGAGCCCTGACTTCATGAAGCTTATGTTCTAGTGAGGGAGGCATTTAAGAAAAAAAGAAAGAAAGAACAGTAAACAGGAAAATAAAATAATTTCAAATTATGATGCACTATAAAGAAAACCAAGAGTGCACTGGAACAGATAATAGAGAGCGTGGTCAGGAAAGAATTCTCAGAAGAGATGACTTTTAAGCTCAGTTCTGAAAGAAGAGAATGACTCAGGCAAGTAAAGAGACAAGGGGAACATTCCAGGTAGAGAGAACCCCTGGTAAAGATGGTGATGAGTGCCTGAAACTGAAATCATGGCTGGAATAAGAGAGTGGCCGAGATAAGATCTGAGAGGCAGGCTGGGGCAAGATCCTATAGGACCTTTTAAGTAACATTCAAGAGTTTGGATTTTATTCTAAGACCCGTAAGAAATAATTGAAAGGTAGAAATATGATATGATTGGGTTTTTAAGATCCCTCTGGCTGCTATGCAGAGAATGGATTAAAAGAGGTTATAAAAAATAAGGAGATAAGTAGAGATGATGATGCCTCAGAGTAAGGTGGTGACTGAGAGAGATGCAGAATAATGAATGGATTTTAGATATATTTTTGAGAAAGACTCTGTAAGAATTGAAGCTAGATTGTGAGTTGGGAGTGAGGAAAAAGAAGATTCAGGAATGTCTTCTGGCTTTCTGGCCTAAGCAACCAGATGGATGGTGGTGAAATTCTATGATGGGGAAGATCAGAGAGGGAGAGGTTGGGTTCTGGGAAGGTGGAACATAGCATCTAGAGCTCCATTCTGGACATGTTAAATGTGGGAGATATATAAGTGGAGATAGCATTTGGACAGTTGGAAATCAGTACCAATACTCTGAGAGTTGGAGAGAGAAATTAAGGATGACATTTAAGTCTATGGGAATATAGGTCATCACCTAGAGGGTGTATAGAGAGGAAAAGGGCCAGCCCTAAGGAATCCCAACATCTAAAAGTCAAACCAAAGAAGTGGAAATAACAAAGTGACTGAAAAGGAATGGCCAATGAAGTAGGAGAGTGATGTTTCAGAGGTGAAGAGAAGGAATACTTTCCAGAATGAGTGAGAGTAACTTGCTTAAATACTGCTGAAAGATTGACTACAATGAAGACAGAGATGTCTATTGGATTTAGCAAAATGGAGGTCATTGGTGAGCTTGATTAAAACTATTTCCATGGTGCTTCAGGGGTAGAAGTTACATGGTGGGTTGAAGAATTCAGGGGGGTGAGAAGTAGGGACAATTCATTTGAGAAATATGGCTGTGAAGGAGAGCAGAGATATGAGAGTAGCTGGAAAGGAATGTGTGAACTAGAACATATTTTTATGCTATTAAAAATAGCATAAATAGGGGGCCGGCACGGTGGCGCAGCAGTTAAGTGCACATGTTCCGCTTCAGTGGCCCAGGGTTCACCAGTTCAGATCCTGGGTGCGGACATAGCACTGCTTGGCAAGCCATGCTGTGGTAGGCGTCCCACATATAAAGTGGAGGAAGATGGGCACGGATGTTAGCTCAGGGCCAGTCTTCCTCAGCAAAAAGAGGAGGATTGGCAGCAGATGTTAGTTCAGGGCTAATCTTCCTCAAAAAAAAAAAGCATAAATAGAAAGGGAGAGATGATTCTGGAGAAAGGGATAAAAGGAGGACTGAAGTCTAGGCTAAGGCAAAGGAGATGGAACAGGCTTTTGATACTTCATCAGCTGAATGAGACAGGAGGGAGGTGTGAGTAGCAGTGAGGTATGGAAGCTCATCTCAGAGAGTGCCCTAGAAAGATATAGGATTGCTGGCCATTATTGAGTGCCACTTTATGGCTTTGATGTCATGACTTAAAAACCTGTCACCTTGGTTATAAGATTTTCTCCAGCAGCTTCTAAGAAAAAGATTATAAATCAAACAGGACTTTCCCATCTGTTCTTCTAAGTAGCCATATTTTTTGGAGTAATATGTGTGTGCAAAGCATCAGACTTTTCTAATTCCTCATTACCCTCCTTTCAAACCCCTTTAAACAAACTAGAATGATCCCTAGTATCCAGGCCTTGGCAGAACTCAAAAAGATAGTGAGTGTTATCATTGCTCCTTATCAACCCGTAGACTTAACATTCGGGTGATCAATTCACAAACTCCACTGCTACCTCTGTGTAAATCAAGTAAGTGTGGGTGGGGTAGTTTCTTTCTCCGAACAATTCATCTACTGATAATGGCAGAACAACTTAATGGTGAGGAATAGGACAACCCTGGTTTCAAACCCTATACAAATCAATTAACTGTGTGACTTTGGGTAAGTTACTTAACCTTCCAGCACGCTGGTTCTCCATTTGGTAAACTAGAATAGTATTAATACCTCTCTCATAGGGTAGTTACGAGGATTTAGTGCCTGTAAAGCCCTCAGTAGCTTCAAGCTACACAGTTAGGGTGACCAACTCATCCCAGTTTTCCCTGGACTGTCCCATTTTAATATTGGAAGTCCCACATCCTAGGAACCCCCTTCAGTCCTGGGCAAATCTAGGACAGTTGGCCACCCTCCAGGAACTCCATGCTTGTGTATTAGTGAGAAAAGCTGCCAGAATGCACGAAGCCCTGGGGTGTAAGACCTTGGCCTCTGCCCTCAAAGAGAAGAGAATATATCACAATTAGAAAAGTGTGTGAGGCCTTTGGGGCGATGGAAGTGTTTGGGTCTTGACTGTGGTGATGGTTTCCCAGGTGTAATCATCTATTGAAATTCATCAAGTTGAACACACTTTAAATATGCAGTTTATTGTATATAAATCATACATTAATAACTTTTTTAAAAATAAAGATAAGTAACTGCGGAAAAAAAAAAAAGAATGTATTGAGTTTCACGATGGAGGGAAATACAAATGCTGCAATCCTGGCCATGAACCAGTGTTAAAAGGACTTGCAGCCCTTCTCGAAAGACCTACACCTGAGAAACAAGACGGACAAATGCACAGACGTGATTTTCTTCGTCGGTGCTTCCTAATAAACCTGGAGGTGTTCATGAATTAAACAGTTTTGTTTACTTAACAAAAGATAAAAGAACAGGTATGGGAATCAGCCCGCCTGGATTTGAATTCTAGCTTTGCCACTTACTGAATCTGAAACCTTGGGAGGTGGTTTACTCTCTCTAAACTTTACTCTCCTCTGCTGTAAAATGGGGATAACAATACTACCTACCTTATAAGATGGTGAGGATGAGAAAATGTAAATAAAACATTTAGCACAATGCCTGCCTGTTCCATGGTAAGCACTGAATAAAAATTAGCTATTATTGTTGTTAGGGTTTGAAAGATCTAAAGGCTATTTATTCTAATGACCTTTAGGCACAAATGTAAATTTATATTTCTATCTAGGATTATGTTGGTTCCTATATTAGCAGTTTGTTGTCAGAGGGAGAGAGAAGCAACATTAGATGACTTACATATGAGAATTAAAGCACCAAAGATAAGAGCCAGAGCCAGCCCAGCAGAGACCCCTGCTCCGATGTAGACGCCTATTCTGGTGGTCGCGCCAGAGTCTTGTAACTCATTATCCAATGTGGATATTTGCTATGGAAACACAAACAGAATTGCAGCCAACAGCCAGAAATCGGTTGTGCACTCAGCGAATCTCATGACTTGTGCCTCAGACTATCCCTTTCATAGGATCACAGCATTGCAGGGACCTTGAAACCACCCTTGATCTGTCCCCTTCTAGACAAGCCTCAAATCACCCAAAGAAAGGGATTAGCTTAATCTTTGGAGTTAGCAAGGAAATAACATGTGCCGTCCGTCCTCTGCTGTGGGTGGAGAAGGAGCTCTTAGAAATGGGCTCCCCTACTCCTCAAACAAAAATGGGCTTGAGAGTTGAGTCCTGTTCATTCACGATCCCTTGTTCTTCCCAAGGAGTTTCAGAGGGGTCTAAATTTGGTGTCTTGCAATGAAACTCCTATTTCCACAGAAAGACAGTGATTTAAAAGCCAGGACTTTGTAACCAGACAGTTGTGAGTTCAAATCCCAGCGCTGTCGCCAAGAGCTGAGTCATCTTGTAGAGTTACTGAGAAAATTACGTGAGAAAAAATATAAAATGCTTGGCACAGGGCCTGGTACATGATAGATGTTCCATCAGTGGTAGCTATTATTGCTATTGCTCTAATTAAGTTGATGTTTTAAAAACTGAGAGTCACACAGAAAGTCCTTCTGCTTCTAAAATTTCAGTCCATGTTCCCCCTTTAAACAATAAGAGTAAACACTTTTAAAACAAGGAAGTCAAGGAAATTAATCTTCCATTCCTTCAATAAACATTTACTGCAGGAGTGCTGTGTGTGAGGCATTGTGCATTAAGCACTGTGGGCACACAGAGGTACTTAAAGGCCGTCCTTGATCGCAAAGATGGGAGGGACAAACACAAAATGCTGAGCCTCAGTTGTGAACACACAAAAGAGATTGAGTCAAGTGACTGTGGACTCCTGGATACGTCCTCAAAGAATTTTTAAGTCACTGCTGTAAGGTTGCTTTCTAGTGATTTTCTCTTTTACTCTGAGAAGGTAGGGGACACTAAAATTGTTGTTAATTGTAATACTGCTTTGCTGATAGTTACACATATAAATTCTTGGATTAGAATATTCCTGACCAGTCTCCTGGCATACATAAATAAATTTAAACAAACAAATAATCTCTCTCATTAGGGTTGCAATGGAAGCAAGAAGAAACATTCTGGGGAGATGGAGGGTCTTCAAATCCTCCCCAGTGGTATAGAGTCGTGAAATTTGATAAGAGGGACAAAATGCTAATGCTACTTCTTTTTGGTTTTCCAGCACTTACTATGTGCCAGGCATCTTACATGCATCACCTCATTCCTTCCATACAACAGGCCTTTGCGGTTAGAATTGTCATCAGCAGCATGTTACAGCCAAGGAATCTGAAGCTAAGGGAGACCAAGGAAGGAGTGGGCAAGAAGGAAGGCTAAAGCCACGCTTTCTTTTCTCTAAGTTGAACACAATGTTAGTTCATACACACACACACAGTTACTTACTGTTAGATTTTTGTCATGGAGGGTCTCCAATGTCTGTGTCTCTGCGACAAAGAGGAAAAACAGCCAATAGAAGAGTTAGGAACATTTTATTTTATCTGAGTTAAAAAAAATGTTAAAGATGCCTATAATCCTATCTGAAATTAATTCTGCTCCCATAACCTTTACAATAATTAATTGGGAGCCCAAGAAAATTTACTGAACACTTACAAATCAACTTTAGGATGCCCACGTTTTTCTCATCTAGATAATGAACCCAGCTACTTAATCTCTGTGAAATGGAGACTTCTGCCAGGAAGCCCTGTGTTGAATATGTGGTTTGTTATGTCCACAGGGCCCTAATGGGGTCTACAAAATTCCAACAACAGTGATAACACTCAGGCAGGCATTATATTCTAATTAGACTTCAAAAGATAACAAAGGTTAATTTTCTTGAAAAAGTTTAACATTTATGCAAATATTAAAAATTATTTATTTTTATAAAAAATTATTATTAAACTTAAAAATAATTTATTTTGATAGAGTATTTGGTTGCCTAAAAATGAATATAATAACAACTATAGTTACAATTTACCATGAACGGGCATTGTGCTGAACTCTTTAAATGAAATATTTAGCATTCAACACAACTATCCTAAAATAGGGACTACTGGCACCATCACACAGATGAAGGAGCTGAGAATTAGTAAGTTAAGTGATCTACCCAAGATCCCACAGCTTAGTGAATGACAAAAATGGCCTTCCAATTTAGGTCCACATGGCTTTAAGCATATACTCAACTATGCTGCCTTCAACAACCTTCACCTGAACATTGTCACTACTGCTCAGCACATCACATCGTCCAGCTGCCAGCCCACCTCCTTTCCTTTTCATTTGTTTATTAATTTATCTGCCTATCCATTATTCTATGAACTTGTGCTATACCCCTACTCTATGCCAGGCACGGGGGACAGAGCAGTGATCAGGTGGTACAGGCCCTGACCTCATGGACACTGCATTCTAGAAAATCAATATGAGGTCATCGGCTTTGGAAAAACTAAGCATGCATACTCATTTTTCTGGCTGAGTCAGAGACTCTGAAAATTATTTTTTTTTTTTTAAGATTTTATTTTTCCTTTTTCTCCCCAAAGCCCCCTGGCACACAGTTGTATATTTTTAGTTGTGGGTCCTTCTAGTTGTGGCATATGGGATGCCGCCTCAGCATGGCTTGATGAGTGGTGCCATGTCGGCGCCGAGGATCCTAACAGGCAAAACCCTGGGCGCACTGAAACTTAACCACTCAGCCACAGGGCCGGTCCCTGAAACTTCTTAAATGTCATGATCACTTTCTGGAAACCTAAAAGTCTAAACCTTTGAATGTAAAACCCTTGTGTGTAAAGGGTTTGAATAACTGCTGTTTTCATAGACTATGCTTTTATAGTATTAAAAGCATACTTAATTAAACATAGTAAAGGTTAGTCTCTGCCTAAATTTTTTTTTTTTTTAAAGAGGAATTTAAAGTATAAAAACCACATTGGTGGAATGGCTAAGTAAACATGAATCTTAACGACACATGAGATTTTCTAATTCAAACCCAGTTTCTGCTTCCCTGTAATTATTTTTCTTGGTCTAAATGATGATGACTTTTTCTTGTCTGACGGCTTTTTTTTTTTGCTTCATTTTACAGTGAAAATAATCAATAAAATAGACCACTGCTGGGTTATTGTGGCTTATTTTCACATAGATAGCCATCAACAAAGATGAATGGGACAGCTGGAGGAATTTGCAATATTTTCCCTAAAGAACTCAAGACTTGGCTGGGGTAGAGGCAACAGTGGGGGTGGAAGTGATGGTCTTATAAGTATAAAAATTCAATCGTTACCATCCAGCAAGTACTATGTACCAGAGATGGTGTTTAGCACTTTACATGTACAATCTCTTTTAATCTCCACCATGGTAGGTAGGTACTATTATTTTCGCGTTTTTCAGATGAGGAAACTGAGTCTCAGAGAGGTACTTTGCCCAAGATCACACAGTTATTAATTGGCAAAGCTGAAATTCAAACCAAGTTTACCTTCAGAGCTGAGGACTCACCCATGACCCGGTCCTACCTCCTTCAGGTGGAAGAGAGATCGCATTTGTTCTGTGTTCAAGTTGGATTTAGGAACTTCCAGAATCCTTGGGACTCTTACTTGTTAAGGCTCCACTCCACTTTATAGCAAACATACCAAATGTACCCACATTCCACATTCAAGAAAAGATAGGTATAACTACAGATGAGTTGACTGGCAGGTAACTAATTGACATAATGTTACATACTACAGAAATGCCATTAGGGCCAGCCTGTGGCCAAGTGGTTAAGTTCGCACTCTCCACTTCGGCGGCCCAGGGTTTTGCTCATTCTGCTCCTGGGTGCGGACATGGCACCGCTCATCAAGCCATGCTGAGATGGCATCCCACATGCCACAACTAGGAGGACCCACAACTAAAAATATACAACTATGTATCGGGGGCTTTGGGGAGAACAAGGAAAAATAAAATCTTTAAAAAAAAAAAGAAATGCCATTAAATATTCATCAATTTCAATTTTTCATTTTATTTTCCTATTTGGAGCTATTTTTTGTTTGTTTAAATATTTTCTCGGGCCTCTGAAAAGCTCAGAGACTATAGGTACTGTGTCTATACCCCCTGATGCAAGAAATGGCTACATTTTTGTTGTCCTAGAGGGAATGGCCTAACAAGTAAAAGCTAAAGGGAAGGAGACTTCTGCTCGTAGTGTAGGCAATTCTAAGGAAACGCACTGCCTTGGGAGGAAGTGAACTCCCCATCCAGGAAGGTGTGTGGGCAGTGAATGACCACTTGGTGATGTTGTAAAGAGCCTTGGGGCACAGGATCGGAAAGTGGGACTAAATGATCCCTGAGGTCCCTTCTGGGTCTACGTTTGTAGGATTCTTTAAAACATAACAATGGCATACAATAAACATCTGGTATGACTCGATTAGCCCACAATGAGGATGATCATCTGTCCCCCTCATATTTAATTTCCTCACTAATTGCGTAAGAGCTGTTGGCTACCAATCGCTAAAGAACAACCAAAGATTGAACCTTTAGAGAGCTGAAGTTAATAACTATAATAATAACTAATGTGTGGGCACTTCCTGTGGGCCAGGTGCTATGCTGAGCACTTTACATACATCATCACATTCAACCTTTACAACAATCTTATGAAGTAGGCACTGGAATTACCCTCGTTGTAGAGGTGAGGAAACTGAGCCTCATAGAGTTTGAGCAACTTTACAGAGTTCATAAAGCCAGTATGAAGAGCTGACATTAACACCCATTCTACCTCTTACTGAAGAACCTAACCACAATCTCATTCTGCTTCCGGATCTTACTGATAATATTAATAACAATAACTAACATGCGTTGAATACGTACTATGATTAGACACTAGGCTTAGCACTTTAGACGCATTTTCTTATTTACATAAATAAGAGGTTTATGAGATTAGGAAATGGGACTTAACTATTATTAACCTCATTTTATGGAACAAAAGCTTGAGCTCCAGAGAGGTTAGGACTCTTAGAGGAAATAGTTAAGATTAACCTCCCTGATCAGTGTGATCTGATGTCTGCCCTTCTGGCGCTATCTTCTCTTCCAGAGCAGCGTGGAAAAGTCCTTGCTGAATTAATTAAAGAATTTAGCTGCTCCTTCTGAGGTCGGAATCTGAGGAAGCTGATGGGCTTTATTCCAGTTAGAAGGGATCCTACAAATCACCTAAACCAACCCCAAACATGGACTGGAGCCAATTCACGACAAAACACCACCAGTCTGGGAGTAAATCAGAAAATAATGATTCTGTAATGAGTTTTCCATTAAATTAAACCTACTTAATTTAAAAGACTGTCCCTTTTTTGGTGCAGTGTTGGTAAGAGTAGATAGAAATTTGTCTTCTCTTATTTGGCAAAATATGTGGATCACCAATATTCTTTTTGGGGGGTTGGGAATTTTACTGGGTCATGAAATCCAAAAGTCTCTGAACCTACTCCTTGGACAGAAGAGGAAGGTGAGATCCAGAGAAGTGAAAAGCTTTGGCCCAGGCCACAGGGTTAGTCGTGACTAATCCAGAATCCTAGCCTGGGGCTCCTTTTTCCCCTGCATAGGTTTGTCTCCAACTCCTCCCTCCCCTCAAACACTATTTCAGCTGCACAGAAACATTCATGCCTCCACTCCTAAACTTACTCAAAACCCTCTGAACTCAGAAACTGGCCAAAGGCTTCCTCCTACACCCCATGTGTAATTACCTGAGCCACGTCCCTTGGTGGTGAGCATCCTTGGAAAGGCTGTAGTGAAATGTCTCCATGGACTGGGAGCAGTGGTGACCTTGGCTAATGTCAGAAACCAACGTGAGGACGAGAGCAGAGCGTTTGTTTCGGGGAATCAGAGGGGGAGCATGGCACAGAAAGAGAAACACATGCTTAACTTTCCAACCTCGCTGGGGCTGGCTGAGAGTGTATCACACACTTAAAATGTTTCTTATACATTTTGAGAAGGACGTTACAGTCATCATTGTCACGGTCTCGTTGTTAATAATAGAACTAGCGGCCACAAAAGGCCGCACTAAATGCTTTTCATAAAACTTCTGCTAAAATCCTTCCAATGACCTATATGATGGGTGTTATCATATTTTATAGAGGAAGAGGTCACAGCATTTAAATATAACTTACCCAAGATTACGCAGATAGTAAGAGGCAGATTTGGGTTTGAACTCAGCTCCATTCACCACAAAGTACACGCTCTATAAATCTTCAAACACACAAGCACATGCTCCCCTCACACACACACAGTCCAGTGATTCTCAATTTTGGCTGCACGTGGGCAAGAATCACCTGGAGGAAACTTTGTAAAATCCTGGTGCTCAGGCTCTGCCTCCAGAGACGCTGATCTCTCTGATTCGTGGGTGGGGCCCAAGCATCTATAGGTGTTAAAAAGCAACCCAGGTGATTCTAATGAGTGGCCAGCATCTCGAACAACTGATCCAGGCCTTTGCTCCCATTCTCTAGATCCTATCTATGAGTTTCAAAACAGACGGAGGGAATTAAACGTGGCTGGGCATCACTGACAGGGCCTGTTAAACTTTAGGTCTTAGGGACCCACGCTGTAATCGGGGAGGTCAGAGGTGAGGGCAATCAGTGTATTTAACATGATTTGCAGGTGGATCTTGTTCATAAAGAAGGCATACAAAGGTTCACTCACCTGGTTTGATGACCAACTCCAGGTTTGTTTTTTTATCGTTCATTAGGCCTGGGAATTGGATCCGGCAGCAATAGGTCCCACTGTCAGCTAAAGTCACATTCTCTATGGTCAAGGACACGTCTCCTTTGTATAAATGCCCCGTCAGCCGATATCTGCTGGATATCTGGTATTTCAAGTTCTTTCCATCAGTGCTGACCACTAGACCATGACATTCAAACACAGGACAGGGTCCCCGGCCCCAGCACACAGGCACGAGATCCTCAGAGGGGGCTGGAGAGTAGTGGCAGGGCAGATGTGCATTCTGACCCACCTTGGCTGTGTATTCCCCTTCCAAAGACCCTGAAGAAAGAAGGAAGGAGAGCACGACGCAGGCAATGAGTGAGATTGGTCCATTTCAGGAAAACTGCCAATAATGCCTCGTAGAATAAAAACGAAACCACTGCTGCTATCCTGTTGGAGGATAATTCACAATGACAATGATTCTCAGACATGAGGGGCATCCGAATTACCCGGAAGCCCTGTTAAAATGCAGATGGCCGGCCTCACCTGCTGGAGTTCCTGATTCAATAGGTCTGGGGTGCGGCCTACGAATTTGTATTTCTAACAAGCTCTTGGGAGTTGTTTACATGGCTGGTCTAGGAACCTCACTTTGAGAACCGAAGCCCTAGGAGAGACCTGTGGCCCAGGCCAGTGAACACCGGAGGGCAAGGCTGATGGAAACAGACAATGAGAAAACCGGCCATTGTCAGCCAGGAAAACAGCTCATCCATCTGGGCTAGTTGTCTGTTCAGCAACAAAGGGTCGTTATCCTAATATAAATGTCTCTCTCCTTTTTTTTAAAGCACCGGGTACATGATGAATAAAAACGTTGGCTGAATAAGAAGCTAGTATATGGCTGTTTTGAGGTTTAAAATTAATTGCCTTTTAAAAAAAAAATACATACATAGTAAAACATTCAAACAGTATAAAAGGTGTATGAAAGTCTACTTCCTCTCTCCCTGCTCTTTCCCACTTCCCAGCTGCCCTTCCCAGAGCCTGAGCATTAAGAAGCATTCATGTATTCCCACTCCCCTGCAACACACACACAAATAGAAGTCTAACATATGCATTATTCTGCTCCTTGCTTTTTCCAATTGACATTATGACTTAGAGACATTTCATATCATTATGTCTAGCAGCTTCACTGTTTGCATCATGGATATATTGCAATTTATTTACCCACTACTCTGCTGGTGGACATTTAGTTTACTTCCAAGCTTTTGCTGTTACAAACAATGTCCATCCTCGTATCTTTATCTTGCACTATCCAACTGCAAATGTCTATGCCCAGACTTACTTGTAAGTAGTAGCAGCAACAGCAGGACACAGTCAAAGGAAAGATGTGAAAACATGTGTTCCGAAGAAGAAAAGTCAAAGAATGGCTCTGTGTAGGTGCCGTTTCAATTCTCCAGTTGAACTGGATACTTCCTGCAACCGTCTCTGTTCCACAATCACAGGAGTGGTGGCCACTCCCCTGGGTGCCAGTCCAGCACACCAGGGCGTCTGACTGTCAGTTATTCCTCTATTCACACTACCAAGGCCACAGTCACATCAAAGGAAACCCCAGTTCTCTGTCATGTCACACCACACACATCCTGCAAGAGCTCTGACATTTATCCTCCTAGTATCAACAAAGAGGAAGCAATACTCAGAGGAAGAAAAGTATTAGTCAAGAAAAGTATCTCTCTATGCCCAAGAGCATGCAGGTGACAAAACTAGGACCGGTTATCCCAGTATGTACTTTTTCTAAATGTTTGAAATATTTAATAAAAGACTTTAAAAAAAAAAAAAAAGTCTCTCTGAGGGGCCGGCCTGGTGGCGCAGCAGTTAAGTTCACATGTTCCACTTCAATAGCCCAGAGTTCGCCGGTTTGGATCCCGGGTACGGACGTGGCACTGCTTTTCAAGCCATGCTGTGGCAGGTGTCCCACATATCAAGTAGAGGAAGATGGGCACAGATGTTAGCTAAGGCCAGTCTTCCTCAGCAAAAAAGAGGAGGATTGGCAGCAGATGTTAGCTCAGGGCTAATCTTCCTCAAAAAAAAAAAAGTGTCTCAGCAAGCAGAGAGAGACTTCTAATATCTCTGATGAAATAGTCCTCTGCTTGAAATGGCAGGGTACGGGTCCAGCTAGTTTCCACGGAACACAAGGTAGGAACATATCATCCATGCATTCATTCAGAGAAGTCAGTCAATTGGTCAGTCATGTGACTAATGTTAATGAAGCACCTACCATGTGTCAGGCAGTGGACTAGGAGATGAAGAATACCATAATGAATGATGTGTTCCTTATCTTCACATTTTTGGGCCTTTTCCACTCCAATCATGAGCCTAATTCCTAGCCTTGTTCTAACATAAATTGGGCTATATCGTATGACCTTGCTGGATCTCAGTTTCCTCACTTACAAAATTTACAGAATGAGAAACTTGTGTTGGATGGTATAGGCACAGCTCCCTGCTCTAATATTCTGGCTTTGACTAGAACTTTCAAACTCTTTCGCTTAGGAAAGACATTTCTTTCTGCAATGCTTCTTCGCCCTACCGTGGGTAGAAGTGAGGGGACTTCAGTATTCTATCTCATCTCACATACACGAGATGTCCCCTCTGCTCCTACCCCAGGAGCTTCAGGCATAATTTGTCAGAAAGTGTTGAATTCCAGCCACACTCTCCATCACAAAGGTAACATCTCACACCCAAAAGTTCTCAGCGCTGGAAAAGTGACTTCTGTTGGCTTAAAAGCCAACAATTCTTCACAAAAGGGAAGTGAGCTCACATAAACAGTTTCTGAAAACCTGATGGTGGCCTTCCTCTATCTTTCCTTCCTGAATTTCCTTGTCACTCTCCTTTATGCCATTAAATGCATTTAACATAAATATCCAGCGTGTTCAGTGTGTGTACCTCCATAGCACCTCAGAGCTAGCATTTACTAAAGAGACCATAGTCAATTTCTTCATTTTATCGATGGGGAAACTGAGGCCTGAAAAGACTGATTTGCCCAAAGGTGCATGATTGGGAATTTCAAAATGAGAACTCTAGTCCCCTAAGCTCTAGATTTTTTTCCACTATAAACTATATATATACGTTCCATGAATTTCATATTTGCCCTTAACATGTCTGCCCACATAACTAATAACAACCAGTAAATGCCCATATTGAAGTGTAAGGCGGAGTGGATTAAACATGGGGTCAGGGGTCATATTTACTAAGAGCATGACTCCAGGCAACACCCTTAAAAGGTTCAGCCATCAGATTTTGTGTTTTGTTTTTTTGTTTTGTTTTGCTTTTTATTGTTATTACTCTGTTTTCTGTGCATCTCCAGAATTGCCGCTGGGACCAGCTTTACAAAACATGAACAATTTATTAGTTCATTGAAGTCTAGACATAAAGGAGCCAAGAAATCTACTCCAACTCCCTTCTTTTTCTCTGTGTTTAGGGAGCTGTTTCTGAACATTTTCCTGTTCATTTAACTTTTACTTATTGTTTATTAAAAATAAACTGTCTAGGTAATACATCCAAATGGCTAAAACTTAAGCAATATAAAAAGCATATATTAAGAAGCTTTGTTCTCACTCCTCCAAGTCAACCAATTTCTCCACCCACTCTCTAGGTTTCCATTTTCATAAGTCTCTTGTGTATCCTCCCAATGCAAACACAAGAAATAAAATAAATATTCTTTTTTTTTTTCCAAGGAAGATTAGCCCTGAGCTAACTGCTGCCAATCCTCCTCTGTTTTTGCTGAGGAAGACTGGCCCTGAGTTAAGATCTGTGCCCATCTTCCTCTACTTTATATATGGGATGCCTACCACAGCATGGCTTGTTATGCAGTGCCATGTCCACACCCAGGATCTGAACCAGCAAACCCCGGGCCGCTGAAGCTAAACGTGCGCACTTAACCACTGTGCCACTGGGCCAGCCCCTAAAATAAATATTCTTATTCCCTCCTTTCTTAGACAAAATATCATATCATATACGTGGTTTTGCACTTTGCATTTTCTACTTATTATTTTATATAAAAATTTTTGACATATACAAAACCAGAGAGAATAGTACAAGTTCCCAAAGCACAGATCCAAAAATATCAAACTTTTATTTTAAAACAAATCCCAGACATCATGTTATTTCACCCTTACAGACTTTAGTCTGCATTTTGTTTTCAAAAAATGGACCTTCTGCTACATAACCATAATACCACTATCACTCTTGACAAAATTAATAATGATGTTTTAGCAGCACCTAATTCCTCAGTCTATAATCAAATTTCCCTGATTATCTCAAAAATGTCCTTTCACAATAGCTTTGTTTAAATCCGGACCCAAACAAGTTCGCTACACCGCACCGGGTTGTTACGTCTCAGTCTCTTTTAATCTAGGACAATTTTCCCTCCTTTCCCTCTGCCATGGACTGGTTGTACAAACCGGTTTTGTATAATTTTCCACATTCTGGGTGTGTCTGCTTCCTTGTGGCGGCAGTTAAATTATTTCTCTTTTCTTTGTACTTCCTATAAGTGAGGTTTGGTTAGACTCAGGTTCGACTTTTGGGCAAGAATTCTTCACAGCTGGTGCTGCATGCTTCAGATTCCATCACAACTGTCTGGTCCCTCCACATCTAGAGATGGTAAGAGGGATCAGCTTGCACCTTTCTTTTTTAACTTAACATTCTATTCTGAAGATCTCTCCATTTCAGCTCATATAGAATGTCCTCATTTTTTATGAAAGCTACATAGATCCCATTGGACAAAAACATTGGGTGACAGTAACAGATATCATCCTCTTGAAATAGACACTTCATGTCTCAGTTTATTTGTAAAGATGATCATAAAAGACCCAGCTCACCCTATGATTCTTTTTTTTTTTGAGGAAGATTAGCCCTGAGCTAACTGCTGCCAATCCTCCTCTTTTTGCTGAGGAAGACTGACCCTGAGCTAACATCCGTGCCCACCTTCCTCCACTTTATATGTGGGACGCCTACCACAGCATGGCTTGCCAATCGGTGCCATGTCCACACCTGGGATCCGAACCGGCGAACCCCAGGCCACCAAAGCGGAACGTGCGAACTTAACCCCTGTGCCACCGGGCCAGCCCCAGCCTATGAGTCTTTAATTATGTGCAATGAAAGTTTGCTTTTTAAAAGGAGCCCAGAGTGTGTTTTTGTTGAAGAAGACTTTTGTATTGTAATTAATTAGATTCTAAATTGTGCTTAGAAAGTTGCATCACGAATTTTCCTAAGGGGTAGTTGTTAAATGTTGGCTATAATTATGGGGCCACTTGACAAAATTCAGAAAATGGAAGTTAGAGAATTCCACCCAGGTCAGGAGACAGGAAAACACGGGTGGTATAGACGGGGTCATCTGGAAGAACTCAGTGCAATTAGAATCTACCCCACACAATGGAGGAGCTGCAGTGGGATGGATACTGGGGAGATAACCACAATGCCCACTAAAGATGGAGTCCTATATGGCCTTGATTTGAATCAAAAACCCTCTCTTATTTAAATCACAACATCTCAGCGAGGTTCCATGTACCATTAGTCCCAAAATGTTGCAAAGGGAGACACCAAGTTTGGATATTAAGAGTAAGAGGTTAAGTTAAGCATTTTTGAGCTAGATGTTCTGACTTCCAGGTTGCAGCTAGCCATGTGACTTCCCTTTAAGAGTGCTTGTAACCTGTGTGTCTGTACAGTACTTGAAAATCCTTTTTTTATTATATAAGTCATATTCTCTGCAGAAAACTCTGAAAAATAAAATAAGCATAAAAATAAAGGCCATATTCCTAGTACCATGAAATACCCACTATCAACACAATGGGTCTCCTTTCAGATATTTTTCTGCATACCTTTATATACATGCGAAAATGTAAAGGCAGGACATCTTGAGGGTATATCACCAGAAAGAAAGTCTCACTCGTGGACAGTTGTGAATATCATAAACACAGGGGGATCCAGGAGAAGTTACAAAACACTTCTTTACACTCTCCATTAAATCACCTGTCCATTCATAGACTCCACCTCAGATAGAAGTCTTTTTATTTTTATTTTACATTTATTTTTGTGGCTCAGTGCTCTCATTTACATGAAGTTGTGTTTGACATTGTCCTCCCCACCAGGTCCCAGCACTGAGAGGGCTACTTCAGACCACTGAGATCCTGGGCATCCCAGGAGGGAACTCCAGGTCTTTCAGGGTCATTTCCAAGACAAATAAATTTCCCCCTTGCTATTGACCACCGCTCATAGAATGATCCTGGTGTGTTCTTATGCCCACAAATACTTCTCCTCTCACCAAAGACCCTTAGTTTATTTATGCTGCAGATGACAGAAAACTCAACTCAAAGTAGCTTAAACCATAAAGTGAATTTATGACTGACATTATTGAAAAGCCCAGCTTCAGTCAAGACTTGGTTCAATGGCCCCAGTGAGGTGAGCAGGGACCTAGTTTCTGGCTCTCCAGTGTTGGCTCCTTCCTCAGATTCTATGTGGTGTCCCTCTCCTGTAGCTGCAGAGCACCAATCTATATACAAAGAGCATCTCTTGGCTGCTCCCACACAGGCAGATTTACA